ATGATCCTGGAGTCCCGGGATCGAGTCCCGCATCAGGCTCTCTGCTCGGCGGGGGGTCTGCTTCTCCCTCTGGCCCTCCCCCCTCTCATGTGCTCTCTCTCATTCTCTCTCTCTCTCAAATAAATAAATAAAATCTTTAAAAAAAAAATAAAGTACAATGTTTGTGTGTGGGTGTGTGTGGAAGATTTGAAGTTAGATAAGGAAATTAGAAGCAAGATCAGGCAACATGCCCTGCTGCTTCACTTCTGTTTCCCTCCTCGGCCTCCTCTAGGACACCTCGTCCTTTTTAATTTAACAGTCACTCCCCAAATTTCAATATGTTATCTTTCGAGAATGTTTATAACAGAAGAAAATATTTATCATTCAGAATTCATTCCCCCCCCCACCAAAAGTGTTATCCCTAGTGATTAGATTCTTACACTAGCCAGCCAAATTCTACTTAACTCCAACATTCTTCTCATAAATTTTTAAAATGCTACTAATTTAACAAATCAACCTGAACAAGAAGACTCTTACCAATGTTGCTTTAATGCTAGTGTTTGAAGGAAAGTGCTCATTGCTTCAGTGACTGTTTATTTAAAGCACTTACTGTCCCTAGTTCCGTTGATGTCGTTTTCTTCGACAGAGGTCTTCTTTCCCTCCCCTGGGAAAATATGTTTTCAGTGTGCAGCCCAGAGAGAGAATCAGGAGCTTGGGCGGTGGCCTGTCCCCGGGGATCCCGGCCGCTCGTGGCCAGAGCCCCTCGCATGCACACTGGACACGTGGGAGGTACGTCAGTAGCTCAGCTTTGGTGCTGGTGTGTGTGGCAGGGAGTGATTCAGGCCTTGCCTCCTAGGCAGGTAACTGATGTGGATGCCAAGCGATTTTCACAAAGTGGTTTAAAGTAGACAATGAGAGCCTCTGATTTAAGAAAAGGGGAAATGGATATAGATTCTGAGAGGAGGACCGTTATCCGGCCCCTCAGTGAGAGACTTTGCAGGTGTCGACGTAGGATTGGACCCATTGAGGGACATAACTTGCGGAGTGTGCTTCCCCTCCAGTTCGTGGAGTGGCCTGGTTCTGTTATCTGAATACGTTGCTGCGGCTGACTGTGCTCAGCCAGAAGGCCTGACCAGACACGACAGACTAAATGTGGTTGTGTTTGGGCCTATAGCAAAGCAAAGACAAACTGCTTGTGACCGCCTACCCGTGAGTCAGGCACGGGAAGGGGGCCCGGGCACGTCCCCTGGCACCCTCGGGCCAGCTTCCTGCTCCCGCCCTGGAACCGGCTGCTTGGCCTGAGCTCCCTGCCACCCTCCCCCTCACCGAGGTGGCCATAGGCCACGGGGTTGGCCTTCTTTACGCCCAGTGGGGTTACTCCTGAGAACTCCCTTTCCAAAGTTGTTATTTAAAAGTTGCTTTCTCCGCAGGGATGGTATTTCTATCTTTGTGATCGTAGCAGTTAGAGAAAGGTTTGTTTGTTTGTTTGTTTTTAAGATTTATTTATTTATTTGAGAGAGAGAGAGCGGAGAGGGGCAGAGGGAGAGGGAGAGAGAAACCCAAGCACACTCCACACTGAGCATGGAGCCCGACATGGGGCTCAATCTCACAACACCAAGATCAGACCTGAGTCAAAACCAAGAGTAAGAAGCTTAACCGGCACCACTCAGACATCCCTAGAGAAAGGTTTTTAAAGGCAGATGTACTTGATGAGGCTTTTTCTCTTTTTTGTCTTTCAAACATTGGGTGGTCCCAGTTTGGAGTCATTTTGCTTTTATTTATGACTGAATGATGGTGATTTTCATTAGCCACCTGACTCTTCCAGGTTCTTCAATGCTAACTATCCCTGAAAAGAGAGAGAACTGAGAATCTGCTCCCTCTGAAATCTGAAACAGAAAGCAGCCTTAAAGGAGTGAGGATGGAATAGTCAGGTGCGGGTTTTGTTGACCGCTCTTCACCGTGTCCTTCCGTTTCAACACAGCTATCAGAAAAACTTCATGGCGTAAACCTCTCAACAGATGGTACTTTCGTGAATGGGAAGGAGAGGCAGATACTTGAGGTTTGCTTCAGAGGGAACCCTGACTATTCAGTTAGAACCGAGACTTGATTTTCCTGATCACGGGGCATTCTTTCTACTGCAGATATCTCCAAGGCCTTGGTTCTAACGGAAATCGGCCCCAAACGTGATCCTGCCACTCTGAAATTGTTCCTGAGCAACATGGAGAGGTTACTGCATGCCAAAGCTCATGGGTATGACTTTTCAGTTCCCGGAACACCCCGGGGCCAAAGAGGAAAGTGCCAAGCACACGGTCTTGCTCACAGCTCCCCGGGGAGAGAGGAAGAGATCCCCCGTGATGGGAGGTGGCCCACCCGCGCCCCACGTGGATGCCGGGGGAGCCGCATGACGCTTCAGCGGCCGGGGTGTACCTCGTGCAGCCAGCTGTCAGGGAACCGGCAGGAGACCTTTGTTCCTTTCCAAGCAGCTTCCAGAAGCCAAGTGACGGACCTTAAGGCCCCCAACCAGCGAATCATGTGTGGGCTTAGAGCCCTTCATAAATGACATCACTCCAGCAAACATTCAGGAAAAGTAAATCCAAGTCCAAGTGAATCTGCTCCCACCTCCCACCCTCTCTAGTCTATGCGGTACTAGCCCCACGAGGCAGTTTAAATTTAAGGGAAAGTGCCGTAGAGTTAAGACTTGAGTTCTTCAGTTGCAGTGGTCACATTTCAAGTGCCCAGCAGCCACCGGCGGCCAGTAACTCCCACCATGCAACGTTTCTATCCTCACAGGAAGTTCTCTTGGGTGGCGCTGCTCTGCGCCCCAGATCTTGAATCTAGAGCTTATTAGAGAAGCCCCCTGGCTCATGTTTAATGACTGGGAATGCCCGGCAAGGGGGTGACTTTGGATGACGTCAGCTATTGAAGAGACATCCGACTCGGGCCCAGCGGCACTCACGGGAGCCTTTGCCCCCTTCCCTCTTCTCCAGGGTCCGAGTGATCGGGAGCTCCACCTTGGCGCTCTGCCACCTGGCCTCAGGGGCCGCGGACGCCTATTACCAGTTTGGCCTGCACTGCTGGGACCTGGCCGCTGCCACAGTCATCATTAGAGAGGCAGGTGGCATTGTGATGGACACTTCAGGTGAGCCCCTCTGACCCTCGGCCCGCTGTCCATCCCCAGGGAAATGACAGCAGAGACCAGATCCAGTGTCCCACCAGACCCAGTGTCCTCCCAGTCTAGACCTGGTAACACCACCAGACCCAGCATCCCCCAGGCTAAACCAGGTGAGGCCACTAGACCCAGTGTCCCCCAGATTAGAGCCAGTAACACTACCAGACCAAATGCACCCCCCCCCGCCCCGAATCTGTTGGTGAGAGACCATGTGAGGACGTTGGAAAAGCAGTGGGCCAGTGCCTTCTCAGCTTCTGTGCTTCGCTACGCTACCCCTCGGGGCAGGGAGAGACCCCAGGGTCGGGATAAGGCCACACGGTGGCAGCACCACCACTATACACTTGCGTACACTTGACCGTTTTCTAGCGTGCACGTTCTGACCCCACCAGATCCCACGCTCGCCAGCCCATGAAGAGGAGGCCAGCACCCCCACACCCTGTAGCTCAGCACCCTGTGAGGTTGTAGGGGAATGGACCCCAAAAGGTGACCTGTCCTTCAACTTCAAGGTCCTCATGTCCCAGTGACTGACCCCCTGGGGGCAAATCCCATAGTGTCTCTGCCCCCGGAACTCTGCTGAGCTTCAGGCAGACCCCTCCTAGTCTAACTTTTAGGAACAAGGGGTCTGAGACTGGGTCGATCTTTTTAGATCCCATTCTCTAGCTTTTTAGTCACGACTCGTTAGCCAGCCTGCATTGGGTTACGGCTCAGACAGGCCCCACCCAGACCTGTAGGTTGGCACTTCCATCACATGGGGTCCCCGGTGCCACCCATGCAGCAGACGTTTGAGAACTCTCCCCTGTCCTGGTCTAACTGATCCTGTGAACCTCGGTCCCGACTGCTGGACCTGAGCCTGCATTCCCCCAGCACAGCCTCGACCGCTGTCTTGCTGGGACAGCAGAGCAGGTGCCGAGAGGCTGCACCCTCGCTCGGGTCAGGCCCGCGTCCAGACTTTGCTGTTCGGTCCCGCCTGGCACCTGGCCCTGGACCTTTGTTTTCCTTGGAATGTGCGTGTGCCGAGTCCTCATTTGGGACTGTTCTGCCTTCTCCAGGAACTCAGGCGCCCTCTCTTCTCTCTCTGTCCTCAGGTGGACCTCTCGACCTCATGTCTTGCAGAGTGGTTGCTGCGGGCACCCGAGAAATGGCGACGCTCATAGCTCAGGCCTTACAGACGATTAACTACGGGCGGGATGATGAGAAGTGAAAGGGAGCAGAGAGGCAGAGAAATGCGACCCACGGACTGGGCCTTCCCGGGAATGCTGGGGCTGGCGGCGAGCCCGAGGGATGAAGCTGCCTCGAGCGGTCTGCACGCATCAAGTGTCTCTGACAAGCCCCAAAGGGAGGTGTTATGCTAAAGTATGTGGCTTTCTGGTTAAATCCACGTCTTTCACCGGGATGCAGTGTTTAGCTGGTGTCTCTCTTTAATCTCACAGAGCCTTTATCAGGCTCATACAAGTTCTTCTATCAGGACCAAAACCCCAATTTTGGATGATGTACATATTAAAAATTCAGTCTCTATTTTTTCCCTCCAGAATGTAAATCTCAGGTAATGCGGCTTTAGAACTGCTGATGAAGCGGACTTGTTCTCAGGCCCTCCCCCATGGTACTTCAGAATGCAATAAATCAAAGTAATGGCGCTCTGCTTATCTGTGTCCCTCCGTAAGTGTGTCACCTGTTTCCCCAAACAACCCACAGCACCCATGGCTGGAGATCCAGGCTCTTTGGGAAAGCTTGCATATTAAAGCCCAAAGTTGGCAGTGTTTGCTCTCTGCTGCCTTTGATAAGCACTGCGAACACGACTTCAGTAATTATCATGTGTGTGTTAATAGAGAAAAGTGAGGCATAGGAAAGCTTTAGGAATTTATGTGAGCAAAAACCAACTCCAGTCGGGCAGCACCAAAGCAGAAGTGGCTGGAAGCACTCTGGCCACGGGAGCTGGGGAAAAACTTTCATAGAGAAAAGGCGAAAGCGAAGTAAGGAACTCAGCCATTGACTCTAGTTTGAAACCTCTTAGGACCCGAGCGCAGTGCGACTGTCTAACGTGCTGATGGCTGCAAGCGTGCGAGACCTCTGAGAGAACACGCACACCGGACTGACCGTGATCCTATTAGGAGGAAAATACCAGGACACTGAGTAAATAAACTCCTAGCCCTGGCCCCTGGCCGTGAACCAAACCAGTTGGTTTCAAATAAATCAGAGGATGTATCAGATGAGGTATCAACCTGTATAGGAGGAGCTTAAACAGTTCATTTCTTGCGTTGGAGTTTCTACAAAACCAGGGGTGTTGATCTAGGAACAGCACGGGCTATTTGCCATGGCACAGACTCCCCCTTGTTCAGCCAACAAGTAACCTAAAGCAGTCCCATTATGTAAAACCACCGCAGCGAGAGACGGCTGTTAGACTCAGCGGGGGTTGCCAGAGGTAAGGGTAAGTTTCTAATGGAATGTTCGTTTGTAATAACTCCAAGCCAAGGAGGAAGGGATCTTCCAAATGACGCGCCTCTAGAGGGGTTAACATCTGCCAGTAAACTTCTTTTAGGTAAATTCACGGGAATGGAACACTGTTGTGTTTCCAAGGTATTATGAAGGGACAATGGAACAGTAAACACAGCCAGGGCACTTTGTCCTTTCACCCTCCAGATGTCAGGACACTGCCCAAAACTCTGCATGTAAAGGTGTAGCCAGGAGGTGCATATAGGGCTCCCTCAAGTATTAGCATTCATAGACCCATTCCCGGGTATAGAGGTTGGCATTCTTCATCCAAGACTCACATAGTGTATTATCACATGTTGAAAGACTGCCCAAATGGACGGGCCTAACAGCAAGCCTACAAATGGTCTGACCGACACTGGCTATCCTGCAGCATCTTTTGTCTATGCATTCAGTGAATCCTGTTTTCCCATCCCAGGATTGGGTTAAATTGAGGCAAGAAACAAGAGTATGTAGATTTAGCATGTTAACTTTATAAAACTGACCTGCAGGACAATTTAGGCACACAGTGGCCTTCAGGATGCCCTTCAAGTCCTGATTTTGGTTTAGCATGACGAATCCAGCAGTTAGTTTCCTACAGTAGCTATTGTTTTCATGAAATCCTAATTATAGTATTGTCTTCCCACACATTAATAGAAAAGGCAGATAGCCAATAGGCAAAAGGGATAAAGGTTTCATGCTGGAGATGAAGATTTGGATCCATGATCTTGGGAGAGTTGTCCACCCCAAGCGTCGTATGATTCTGAGGAAGAACCTCTGTGGTCAATTTTAACTTCACATCTCTGGCTGATACATAGTTCCGAGAGTCTGGAGGAGCCCTTTCAACTATGAGCTGTGGACCCAGGGTTCAAGTTCCTGAAGTTAGGCTGCCATCTGGGTAGTGAGGAGAACCTGGTATGGTCCCTTCTACTGAGGTTCAAGGGCAGTCTTTCTTAGGTGTCGTTTCCAAAACGACCCACTCTCCAGGTTCTAAGTTGTGGAAGGTTAAACCATCTGCAGGAGGGTCATGAAAAGCTTCCTTTACCTGGTAGAAATACACTTTGGCATAATACATTAAAGCTTTACAATACTGAGTCATACCAGAATTTGTGAGTGCGGGAGACACATGTGGTTCTATCATCAAAGGCATAGGTCTTCCTATTACTATTTCATGAGATGTTAATTTGTGCTTTCCCATAAGTGTCTATCTCATTGCCATCAAAACCAGTGGTAGAACTTCTGGCCAGGGCAGTCCAGTCGATTCTGTTAATTTAGCTAGCTTTAGTTTTAAGTTACCATGTGTCCATTCGACTTTACTGGATGACTGAGAATGGTAAGGACAGTAGTCAGGCCATTGTGTTAGCAGCACCCTATTTGTTTACTTATTTGCCCAATGAAATGAGTTCCCCATCACTGGAGATCTCTCTGGGGATACCCCATAAAGAAAATTGTCTTTTCTAAGCGTTTCTTAGCCGTGGTGGTGGCATCAGCCCTTCTGCAAGGTTTCAGTCTGTCCTGAGAAAATGCAAACAATGACAAGGACATATTGATAACCCATTGTGGGAGCAATTGAATGAAATCCATTTGTAAGTGTTCAGATGGCCCCAAAGATGGTAGAATGCTCCATCTAATGGGCCATCTTAATGGTCTTCCCAGGGTTAGGGGTTTGATCAATCAGACATTGCGACCTTGGAGCGGTCTCCCACCAATACTTTTCATAATTTAGGTCATTTTCTTCTGTGCCACATTGAGTTGCAGAAGGTAGCACTTCTAGTAATGGCAGTTTTAAGGACTCAGGAAGAACCAGGAGTCCATCCAGGCCCTCAGCGTATCCTCATCTAATATTAAATTTGCACACTTGGTCTCAACATTTGTCGTTCCAACTCAAGTGCCTGATTTTGTCTTTTATATAGATTATCATAAATAATTTGGTTAGACTCGGTCTTAGGAGTTCATTCAAGTTGTATATTGGAACAGTTTTAGTGCTAGCTGATTTCACATCGAAGTCCGCTAGAGCATTTCCCTGATACTCAGGTTCTGTCTTCTAGTATGAACTTCGTTTTTAATCATTCCAATTCAGTCAGGCGATAGAATGGCAGAGAGCAGTTCATTTACTCCAAGTCCAGTTTTCCAGAAGTGAGGAACTTTCTCTGTTTGCATCATGGAGCAAAGTCAAAGACCACCCAAAGGCATATGTGCTCGAGGTATCCTTGGGTGGCTAACAAGTGAGGGCATGTAACTCTGCTGTTCCTGCTTGATACTGCCCTCCTGCATTCTTAGCATAGGACCCATTGACCAAGAGTATCAAACCTGGGTTTTCTAATGATTTGTCCTGTAAGTCATGCGAAGGGTCAAGAACCGTGATACCACATCTACACGTTTACGCAGATCCATACCATCATTGGGCCAGGGCAGCAGGCTTGAGTGAGTTGCAGCACGATAGAAGGAGGTTCGAAGGTGAAAGGAGAAGACTCTCACAAGACGTTCATTTACTTGCTGAAAATGTTGAATCTGATCGCAGTGTAATAGACTCTGACCAGCCTGAGGTACTTGTAATATTAGGTCATGTTCTAATACCGGTTCAGCTGAGGATCCCCCCCCCCAGTTGAGATGCTGTGGCTACTGCTTTCTAACAGTTTGGATGTCCTCTGGTTCCTGGGTCTACCTGTAAGCTGTGGTCAGCAGTAGATCTGTGTTTTCCTCCATGCTCTTGGGTTAGAATTCCTAGAGCCTGGTTATTGCTCTCATGGACAAATAAGGTGAAAGGTTTAGTATAATTTGGGAGCCCTAGGGCCGGAGTTTGTTGCAGGGCTAATTTTAGTTGGCTAAAGGCTTGTTCATGATTAGCTTCCGAGGATAAGGGCTCTGGAATTGAGTTCCTTGTAAGCTCATACAGAGGCGATGCAATCAGAGAAAAATGTGGAACCCGAGACCTACAATACCCTGCAAGTTCAGGAAATTGTTATTAGTTGTAGTTCTGGGGAAGTTTTGGGTGGTCTTTATTCTTTTAGGTGAGAGGAAAATGCCTTCTGCATTCAAATCATGTCTTAGATAGCGGACCTTCTCTTTTGAGAATTGGACTTTTTCCTTGGAAGCTTTACAGCCTTTACAAGCTCATTGCTGTAATAGTTAAACTGAATCTATTTCTGAGTCTTCCCTTAGAGGGAAGCATAGCAATAAGGCATCTACATACTGATGAATATAGCATTCTTGAGGAACTGTAAGATCTTGATATAAAACCCAGGACAAACAGGATGGGGCTTCAGTGACCCCTTGTGGCGTTATCATCCAGGTATATTGTTGATTTTTCCAAGTAAAGATGAATAAATATTGATTCTTGCTGTCAACTGGGATGCTGAAGAAAGCAGAGCAAAGACCCACCACTGTGATCCACTTTACATTAGATAACAAGGTGTTGAGATTTGGAACGACGGGGAACCTTCGGATCACAATTTTATTGATTGCATGCAGATCCTGGACACACCTTGTCCATTTGGTCTTTTAATGGGTAAGATTGGAGCATTACAGGGACTAGTGCATGGGATTCGGAGTCCTTAGTTAAGTCTTCTGTAGTCGGTGAGAGCTCTTCAGGAGATTCTGGTCTTGGTGAATATTGAGACAATTTAGGCAGAGTTTTGGAATGATCTATTTGGATTTCTATGGGTTCAGCACTCTTAATTTTGCCTTTGTTGGTTGAGGAAGAAGCCCATAGGCATTCAGGCACTTCTGAGAGATCGGGACTTTCACACTTTCCGGTCTCCATTTCATCAAGTCCTGCTTGGAGAGAGGAGAGCAGCTCAGGTCATTTTTCCTCCTAGTTAAATTGTATATGACTCCTCAGTTCAGAAGGCCAATCTTCTCCTAACAGGTTTATGGGGGCAGTGCCACACAAAAGGAAAGTATGGTTTCCTGGAAATGGCCCTAATATCATCTGGACTGGGTTAGATACAGGTACCCTTTGAATTTGGTGAGAAACCCTTACTACAGAAGTATTTTCTTTACTCTGAGGGATTGGCTATTTTATGAAAGTGGGATTTATTGTTGATAAAGCTTATGCAGACCCACCAATACTGTGTAGGATTCTCCATTGATTTTTTCTTCATTTCCCCTTGCTCATTTAGAGGTATCATGGGAAGCAGTTTCCTGGAGAATCCCTTGGAACTCCATCAATGCTTAT